ATTTATTCATATAATGAAGAAATGAACAAAAGTATACATTTAATTCGAAAAATATAATAAAACTTCAACATAATAAGGCAAAGCATTAGAAACAAATTTCTTTTTTTTATTTTTATTTTTATTTTTATATATATAAATGCTATGCTATAAAAAAAGGCGAAAATAAAATAGAATAAATCATACTATAGTATTAAGTATGGCACACTACGGTATTACCATGGTATTGAGGATACGATACCGATACCATCCCAACTATTTGTAGTTACGATTGATAGCACCGAATGAAATGGTAACCACCACTTTGGTATTTTAACGTGGTACTCGATATTTGATAAAAAAAAATAAAAAATCGACTCGACCCCTAAAAGTTCGATCTCAAGCCCACTTTTGTAATTGTTCCTCATGAGCAAATTTTCTCTCCAATCCAAAATACATCAATAAATCTTAAACATAATTCCTATATGAAATGAATCATCGGGGTCGAACCCTCTAGGTAACCGAAGAAGGCCTATCAAGGTGAATTGGAAGGCTGAAATGTACTCGGCACATAAATCAGAAAAGAGTCGTCGTTTACTCACAGAATTAGTCAGACGAAGTTCGAACATTTACATAATGTAACAATGATATGAGGGAATAGATGCACTTAACAATTATGCAACAAACTAAAAAGGCACTTTAACCATGGTTAAGAATCTAAAAAAACAACCAATAAGAACTTGACATACATTCAAGATTGAAAAACAAAGAAAAAGAAAAGGTAGAAGGTACATTGAAAAATGGCAACCACCAAATATGAATCGTTGTAGAGTGTTGTCTACCACATTAATATTCTTAGTTGCCATTTTTATGTAACAATGAAACAATTTTGTAGGGGAATCGTATTTCATATGACCTTAATTGGATATATATGTAAATTGACATAAAATTGAGAATATTAATAGAATAGTTCACAAAAACACTATTACCAAACCCCTAAAGTTTAGGACATGTGCCAAATTCCTAAGAAAGCATAATACCTAAAAATATGGTTTTGGTCACTCTCCTAGCAGCCACCATCACTCACAGTTTATAACTAGTGGGGATTGAAGAAGAAAAATCATACTTGTCAAACTATTAATTTTATTTTTATTTTCTTTTATTATTAGTGATTGATTGATTAGCTTAATCCCACTTTTCATCCTAAAATATTTGTTACTATTATGCTTCTTACAAAGATAATAAATCACTTACAACGCACCTCGTAAATGTGACCACATTTCAGCTATCATCAGAGTGGAAAAACTTGCAGTGGATGTGACCACATTTCAGCTATCACATGAGCGGAAAAACCTGCAGTTTGACATAAATATAAGAAAGACGCACTTGACATCTAAACGAGGTGAGCACAAATGCGAACCCTCCTCATCTTAATGGACCTGGCTCGTAAAGGATAGCACAACTCGCCTTCGACAAACAGGTAGCTCGGAGTAATCACATCACTCTCACGTGAGAGTATGACCGAAGGACAGAAGAGGACCCCACCACCCCATTCACGAGACAGGTATAAATTAGGGGTGGCAATTTCGCAACTTGGACCGTATCCGATATGAATCCATGTGGATCGGATACAAATGGAACCGGATCCAAAATGAACCTATATAAATGGATTTCATGTGGATCGAATTTAGACCGATCCGAATTGGATCCACATGGATTCATTCCATCTTTAATTCAACTTATAAGATTGAATATAGGGTTTAATATCTCAATTATGTGGTTTAATATCTCAACTTTCACATAATATTAACACACTTTTCACATACACATACATTTCAAACATACGCACACACTTTTTTACACACACACACTCACTTTTTACACACACAGACACACTCACATACACATCCACACTTTTTACACACACTTTTTACACATTTTTCACACACACACTCACATACACACACGTACACATACTCACATAACACATACACACTTTTTACACACACACACACACACACACACACACACACACACACACACATTCACACGTTTTACACACACACACTTTTGTACACACACGCACACACACTCACATGCACATACACACTTTTCACACACACACACTTTTTACACACAATCCAAGACATTTTTCACACACACACATTAGGGCTGCAAATGTTTGATTTATTAAATTTACAATTAAAGTTAAATAATATTTGACTTTTTTTTTTAGAAAATTATTTTAGTATTAATTTTGTTTTGGTTGGATCCAATATAACCCCCTTTATTTTTAGTTGAACTTTTAATGGATTTAAAGTGGATCCACATGGATCTCGTTTTAAAAAAAAATTAACTTGATCCGATCCAGTTTGTTTCAACTAAATTTAATCTAAACTGGATTCATATGGACCGAATCGGATCTAATCGGATCCATGGAACTGGATCCAAATTGCCACCCCTAGTATAAATACAGTCTTGTGGACCAAGGAATTAGGATAGTTTTTTTTCTCTCGACAAATTGCTTTGGTATCGGGGTCTAACTAAATCTCGTCAGTGATTTTATGAAATAAAATCTAATTTATATTTAAAAATATTATAAGTAATGTGCATCCTTAAATTTGGCTTCATAATGAGGAAAATTAAAATTTTGGTTCAATACTTTACGGCATGAATATGAAGAGAGGTGCTATTACAAAAGAAAACTAAAATACCCCTATTGCTTTCAAAGGACAATCACTTTTTAAATAAAGTAATTGTGTGAATTGAAATGAAGACAGGTGCATTGTGAACGATTTATATTTAAATGAATCATTTTTTTGATTAAATCTCCACTTTAAATGACTTAGCTTATAACCAATGATGTCGCAGATACAAGCTAAAAAACAAATTGTGGATGCTAAAATCTTATTAACGAATTATCATAACTAGTTACGAATATCGAATTTTGAAGTTTCGTTTCAAGTTCTATTTAATATTGGTCGATTTAATTTCGGAATAAAAAAAGAAAAAAAAAAAAGAAATAGAGTTATATAGGAGAGTTTTGGTGAAGATTGACTACCTCTCATAGAACTTCCATTTTGGGCATGATTAAACATAGACTTTCTCTAATTTACTAAAATAGGTTGATTACAACTATGTTGATTGAGGCAACTAATTAGGCAATGTGGGGAAAAAAGGGTATTTGTGACTTGAGATACATTAAAGATGATTAGGTTTGTATGAATCTTTGATAAGTTCTCTCATTAACTATATACTTTATATCCCATATTTAATCACCTACACATTTTTGGAAATAAATTATTTAATGTAACAACATTGGCCTATATATTTTCAAATTAATAAACTTGAATGGTATTATTTTTCAGTATTAATTAGTCCCACTATTTATTGGTAAATTATGAAAACTCCCCTGAACATAGGCTAAATTATAAAAAACACCCCACCTATCTGTAATTATCAAAATCCCCCCTAACTTTTCTTTTTGTCTTACACCGATCCCTTTACGGTGAGATTTTTCATAGAATCTTTTTTCTTTAACGGAATATTCCCCAAAAAATGTGGATTCTACCCTAAAAATAATCTCTTAAATGTTGGTGGCCTTGGTAAACCTTCTATAGTAACAGGACAATGTTTGGAAGCGTTTTGGATGTTATTTTGATTTCATTTTGACGAAATATGTTTTGGAGGATGAATTTGAGAATGAAATTGATAATGAAAGTAATGTTTATTTATATTTTGGAAGGAGACAAAATACACTGTAGCAGTCAAATCATGTTTAAAGGTGTTAGAAAAATGTATTTTTGAAGAAAAAAATAGAAATATGAAGTGATGTTTATTTGTTTTTTAGTGAAGACATTTTTTACTGTACCAATCAAATCATTTTACTGTAGCAGTCACATCATGTCTGAAGGGGAGAGAAACTTTTAAAATTGTTTTGAGAAAATGATTTGAAAAGTTTAATAAATACAATTTTGTTTTGGGGAAAGAATGAAAACAAAGTAAGAATGCTTCCAAATATTGTCACATCACATTATTGGAGTGTCACTACACTTCCTGGATTGCTAATATGAATCATCTTGCATACATGGGCAATTTTTTAAACATCTGTACATGGCTACCTTCAATATGTTCCATGTTTATAGGGTCGAATTGACATTTTTCAGGGAATATTGCCTTGAATGAAAGAAATACCTTCAATATGTTCCATGTTTATAGGGTCGAATTGATATTTTTCAGGGAATATTGCCTTGAATGAAAGAAATTCTGAGAAAACTCACACCATAAGAGTGT